CAATGCGGACTCAAGTTGAGTCCAGCCGAAGATGTAAAGAAAACAAACAAGACTGGTACATATATATATATATATATATATATATATATATATATATATATATATTAAAGGATCAAACACTAATATTCCATGGTTATAATTTATTACATTGGAATCGTAATCACGATCCAATTCATCAGACATACAATTTCAAATTCCTGTTCTTTCTTCTGTTGCACCTCTCTCTATACCTTTCAGACATTTCCCTCTCACACATGTTTCCCACTCCCACACATACACTCCCACTAAAATTGTATTTTTTATACCCGGAATTATATTTTCCGATTTCTTTTTGAATTTGTAGGTCTGATGAATTGGATCGTGATTACGATTCCAATGTTATAAATTATAACCATGGAATGTTGCGACGACGTTCAATTATGCCATATAAAAACAAATCTCTTTCAGACTCTCGACATAGACATATCTGCCCAGTTTCGTATCCTAATGTAAACAAAGCAATTTCTAAAGAAGCGATGGATTTTTACTTATTAACCCGACAGATTTTATGACTTAGACGTCATTTTTAGTGGTTACGCATATTTTTTTAAGAAGATTCCTCAGGCCAGTAGAAGAAAATAAATAATATACTCTTTAATAAATAAGCAGGGCGTCTACTCAAATATGGGTATCCACTAAAATTAACGTCTTTTTGTTTTGTTTTTTTTTGCAATATGAAGATGGCTGCTTCTTCCGGAAAAGCGTTTGCCGACTACTCACACACACATTCTTTCTCCTCTCCCTCTTTTTGCTCGATTACTCGTCTCTCACTCTTGCTATTTAAAAAAGAAAAATATATTATTATTTTGGTCAGTAGATTCACTGTTTCTTTTTTTCTGTCCCAAAATTGTTATCGACGAAACGTTTTCAAGGTTTCTTTCAAATCCATTTTTTTATGTTTTTTTTTTTTTACAAGACCCCAGATCAGTGCAATCACGTCATCTCCCCACGTTATAACATGATGTGTCACCACCCTTCGTGTTTTCGTCTGCTGCGCCGTAGCAAAAGTTTGTTCAACACCTGAAAAGTATAAAAAAATAAACATTTTTAATGCAGGAATATCGACAGATGAATCTTCTGTATAAACCAGACGAAGGATGGGATGTTTTTTTTTTATTTTTCGCATTATTTTTATTCTTTAGGTCCGTCATATTTAAAGAATCACGTATTTCAACACTGCTTCTTTGGTCACCACTCTCAAAATTTTTATTTCTGTACTGATTAACTGTTTGGAAAAATCGAAGAATTCCTCGAAGAATACATTTCATCAAAAGTTCTGTTTTTGATGGAATTTAATTCGTGACAGAAGGATGACTTTAAAAAATAAAAATAAAAATAGATAATAATAAATAAAATAAAATAAATAAATAAAAATAAGTAAAAAGCCAAAGAAAATATTTGATTTTCAAATAATTATGCAATAAATTTATATAACAGATTTTTTTGAAAATGCTGCAATTAATTTTCACTAGAGAGTTTGGGATAATAGTTCCTTAAAACCTAATATTTTTTCCATTATAACATACACTACGATTGGTGATAGGAACGTCGAACTGAACACTTTATTTCGCTCAATGGGGTAGACTGTTGTAGTTCCATGGGCCATGTTTTTTTTGTTTTTTTTTTTTTAATGGATGTCATCATCAGGACTTTTAATGAATATCAGTTATACTTAATTCCCTTAACTAAGTTGTCCGCTACCTTAACTGGGTATTGAACTCACACACTTTGGGTCCTGTCACTGGATATAAATAACACCTTTATCCACTGTGCCATGTGTCCTTGAAAAAAAAGCATGGCACGTCGAACTAGAACAGTTTCCCTCAGTGAGCGAAATAAAAGGTTCAGTTCAACATTCCAAACACCTGAAGAAGGCCGGAGCTTACAACGGCCGAAACTTTGTAATAAATATGGCGACAAAGGTGAGGACAATAGTCAGAAGAATGTAAATAGTGTACATAATACCTCATCTCAGAAATATAGAGAGATAGTATTAAAAAAAAACGAGAAGAAATTGGTAAAAAAGCATTTAATATTTTAGATGACGAGATAAAAATGAACAATAATTATTCTCAATATTCTTCTATCGCGGTAACGTTTTATAAACGTTTTATTTACAATATTAGGCCAAGATAAATGTCGGAACGGGTTAATTTTATCGATTAAAAATGAAGGGAAAGGATAAATAAATATGAAATTGCATCAGTCGCGTAATTAATTCTTTGAAATATGTTTTTATATAATTCAAATAAATTATAAATTTCTTTGAAATAAGTTTTTATATAATTCAAATTCTTTAACTGCACAACTTGTAACCACTACTCAAAACTCACAAGTGTAATTCCGTATTGTTTTACTAATTGGTTCCCTAATACAAAACCTAAGCGCCACTCGATATAGAGCGTTACTGAATAAGGTTTTGTATGAACGTAAGAACTAAGAAATGCTGTTTATGAGAATATATATAGAAAAGATAACAGTTGAAGTTGAATTTGAATAGGTTTGGATTTTATCCAGCGGCCTGTTGCCAAAAAGACAGTGTTGCAATAAAGTTCTACATAGTAAGCTGTTAAAATTTGATTTATAAATCAGTAAAAATTCGATACTCTCGCCTTAATATATGTTACACAATGTAAGATTTAGTTAGAGCGATGACACAGAACATTATTTTCTTCCTAACGCCATTGACACTAAAAGTTTCGAAAACATACAACTAAGGCGTTTATAGATGCAAAACAAAGTATCTGTTGCCAGATAATATAACGTGTTTTGTGGAAATTCTCATTTACAAATGAAACGTTATTCCAAACAATCCGAGATGAGTGACAATGTGAACTATGATACTTGTAATATTTTTTTCTTCTTCTGTCTTCTATTTTCAGTTTGCTTTCAGAAATTCGGTTATGATGGCTTTCAACATGATTCGTGCTGCTCTTAGTAAATTTTAGTCATATGGAAATGGTAATATTAGCTTTTTCCTTATGTTGAAATATTCGGCATTCATTTACTGTTACCGTCGATTGAAATTTATAAAATCTTTCATGTAAAAATATTTTTCAAGAAAATAGATTTCTCAAGTCCGCTCTTTCCAGTGTGATAAGGTCTCTTTCGTAACCATTTTGTTTAATACAGTGTCAAACAAATTTTGCTTAAACCCTTCCCCGCCAGTTATCTTGAGAAAAAAAAAGTTTCATTTTCAGAAGATTTCCTTTATTTGTTTTTAATATAATAACTAAGAAACTGAGGTACCTTGAAGTACCCGAGCGGTGACTAACACCTCTAGCAAACGAATGAGTAAACAATTGGACTCAAGCTCAGGAGAGCATAAAAAGAATTAAGATCGACATATAAACTCGTCTGTAGCTGAATTTTTGAACATTATGTTTTGGACTTATTTATTCGTTCGTGTTTTAAAAAGCTACTGTCAGAAAAAAAAACGTATATACACGTCTACGCCGGAGAAGGGGTTAAGTAGTGTGAAATGTCAACATCTTGATAATGTTATTATTACCTCCATGAGTTACTTGTGATATTAATTTATATCTATATGGTTGTAAGCAAAAGGAAAAAGCAAGCATGCAAAGTAGAAATTGGAGATACTAAAATGAAATAAATACGACTATCTAAATATGTGGTGCCTTGGGATAGCGAAAGATGCTTTCCAAAAGATAAGCAAATGATTCAGAAACAGGAAAATTTCGTTAGAAACAAAGCAAGAAATACTGACCTATTACGACATATCAGAACATTAATATCGCAGTGATCGCTGAACAATCTCCTCACAGATGAAAAAAAACTCGATACAACAGAAATGTAGTTCTACAGAAGGATGCTGAGAATACCATACCGAAGTTTTAGAGAAAATGCTATAAAAAAAACAAAAAAACACTTATAATTAAAATCAGGGACTGACAGTTGAAATTTCTAGGACCCATTGTAAGGAAAGAGGACGTGGAGAATTTGACACTCATAAGGCAGATTGGAGTAAGAGTGACAGAGGTAGAAACTGCATAATATACCTAACGATCTTGGGTAAATGGATGACGGAGCAGGGTTTATGAGATATAACAAAAAGATAAAATTTAGTAAGAACTACAAATAACAAGAAATTGTGGAGAGCCATGATCACCAACGCATTGAATGGACACGGCACATAAAATAAGAAGAAAAAGATGTTTGAAGAATATGCCTAAGAAATACATAAATATATTACCTGCCTTCTCGAGAACACAGAAATTGAAAGCTAGCGTACAATATTACAAAAATACTTCATGTTGCAATAAGTTGTGATTTATTCTAGCTGGCAGGGTGGATATTTTCTTTACACTAAAATTAATTTTAATAACGTGTGAATTTCACTAATTGGCCAATATGTGTCACATGACCGACCAAGTTCGAAGCATATTAATTAGGGAAAAGAATGCGAAGATTACACTGTATTTCAATAGGATGAATTTAACTCATGGCAAGAAGAAAATCTTTTAATCCTAATGCATATTTTGCATAAACTGTTTGCAATGCCATACTCAAAGTATGTATATAATTTAATTTAGGAAAGTAATTGTTTTTTTTCCTCCCAAGGAAGTTTTCTGTGGCTTGTTAACGAAGAGACGGGCATGCGCAATTCCCACATGCAAGTTGAAGTTAGCATTGAGTGAATTGTAAATGATATTTCGCGTTGGCAGAATATCGTAATTAGGAGGGTTAATATTGGATGAATACTAGTATGAAATTAAATAGAAAGTGGTGTGCATTGTGAACAGAAAACAGAATCAATATTGAACTGAAATGAGGAAAACTATGACAAAACAGTGTATGTGTGTTTGAGAGAGAGGGATAGAGAGAGAAAGAGAGAGAGGTGAAAAGGGTAAGAACATAAGATAGATAGATAGATAGATAGATAGAAAGAACGAACGAAAGAAAGAAAGAAAGAACGAAAGAAAGATGAGATTAATAGCTATCTAGCTAAGTAGATAGAAAGAAAGAATGAAATGTGAGATAGATAGATAGATAGATATATATATAGATAGATAGATCGATAGATAGATAGATAGATAGATAGATAGATAGATAGATAGATAGATAGATAGATAGATAGATGCTGAGAACAGAACAGATAGATATATAGAGATAGACAGAAATAAAGAGGCTAAGAACAGATAGATAGATAGATAGATAGATAGATAGATAGATAGACATGAAGAGACTGAGAAAGATACATATATAGATTGATATAGAGAAAGAAAGAAAGAGAGAAAGAAATGCGAGCTTAGATAGCTAGCTAGATAGAAAGAATAAAATGTGAGATAGATAGATAGATAGATAGATAGATAGATAGATAGATAGATAGATAGATGGCAAGTAAAGGGTTTGGAAAATCTTCTTAGCCCAACAAAGATGACGTTTTCCCGCCAAATATATGAGCCTAATTATTTAGTGAGCATTTGGGAAGTACACAGAACTAAAGAATACTCGGTATCTCTTAGTTATAAATATTTTATTTAATCAGTTCACCCCATGCAACGCGATAATGTCGTTAGAACGCAAGGGACTACTGGAAGTGAAAAAGAAAAAGACTTTCAAGGTGACCGATATATATATATATATATATATATATATACTCTTCGTGGTTACGAAGGTACGGCAGGTCGGAAAACTTGCTCTAATCGTTCAGATAAGAAAAGAACTCCTGAATCTGTTGGAGAGGGTCTCAAACTCAACACGAATGGCTACATCAAGTGCATTGTAGAGGTAGTGCTGCCCTGGTTCACGAGAGTGGCTGCTGGAAGAACATATCTGGCAATAAAACTCTGCACTATGACATACAAGCAAGAGAACCTAGTCATGGCTGTCAGACAATTTCTGCAAATACATCATCCCTTACATCTAACCACCTAAATCTCCAGACTGCAACTTCCTTGATTATTATGTCTCGGGCACAGTTGAGTAAGAAACCAAGAAAACTCCTTGTAGCACCAGAGATGAGATGAGGACAAAGATTATAGCAGCATTCACCAACTTGAACAAGGAGACTATCCAGAAAAGTACCAGGAGATCCCAATGTCGTCTGGAAACCCTAAGTGAAGCCAACGGCGATTTTATGGAATAAATTTACTCTTTAGTATTTCAAGATATTTTTGTCTAGATTTTGGTAAATATATGAGATGTTAGTGTTATTTTCATCTTTGCGCAGTTTAGCTGACACTTCATCCATCGCACTCTGTATATATTAATAAATACAGTGAATGAACAGTCAGATATCAGTTTACCTAGAAGTAAACAATGCAGTTATTAATAAGAAGAGTTGAAATTAATGCATACAATATTCCCTTGCATTACTCTCGCATAGTCAGCCTATGAGCCTTTTAGCTCAATCTCGTAGCATCTGAACAAAAGAGAAGAAATGAGAAAAAGGGGAAAAGCTTTTTAATGACAACGCATTTCACCTTAGTGAAAAAGGTTGGCGTCTTCAGATCAGAATGAAATGCAAAACTGTGATTATTTTCTATAGACGTAAATTTAATTTTTCTAGTATGGCATATTCCGCATAGAATGTAAGAATAAAACCGTGCCATCTTTGTTTTTAATTTGTTTTACATTATTTTTGCTATGTATTAATTTCCGTTGCATGTAGTATCATGCCTTTATAGTCAACCTATGAACTTTCCAGCCCACCCTTGTATATTTCTTATTACGTGTTATATTTGTTGGATACACACATTAGAGTAGACATATCTGGGTTTTTTTTTATATCGTAAACCTGTTTACTGACCTGTGTATTCGAGTGTTTTAATAAAGAAAAGATGTCCTCTGGCAGAGCTCGAACCTGCGTCCCTCTTGTATGGTGAACCAACGTAAAGCACGGCATGGTTATCATTCGCTCTGTTTACGGACCACCATCTCAGTCAAGCCATGTTCAATTTTACTGCTTGAGAAATACACATCGTTTTTCCAATCTCTCGAAATTCATATCTTCTACATTTCTAACTATCTATATAGATATCCAGACAGTAAATAAATCAATTTTTAAGGAATTAACGAATTTTGTTTGTAAACCGACAGTGTTTCTTATTACTGAAAACGTTATATTTAGTGGAAACAAGCATTTGAGTAGACACCACGGTTTTTTTAAATATGCGGGTAGGTATGTGTGTGTATTTTTATACAGATAAATAATATATATGTGCGTGTGTGCGCTCACGCGCGTGTGTGTGTTTGCGTGTATTTCTGAGCGGAAGTATCGTAACTATTTACACAATTTCGGTTGTTCGGACTAATGTCCCCATCTTTATTCTTATATTCACGAGGTTTCGGCCGTTGTGCGGTCTGACATTCTTCAGGTGAAATACTGAAGAAGGCTGTAGCCTACAACCGCCTAAACGTCGTGAATATGGCAATAAAGATGTGGACATTACTCGAACAAAATAAATAATATATATATATATATATATATATATATATATATATATATATATATAAAACTGTCAAAAATGACCTAGGGAATTAAGAGCAGCATGAATCCATCCAGCTCTTATCTCAAATGAGATCTTAAAAGAGACTGTTTGACCAACACAAGGATTGAACAAAATCCATATTAAAAAAATTAAAAAAAACAAATAAAAACTACAGACAAAAGTTCATTTCCTCCATCAAGACATTCATAGTTCAATGCTATGAGCAAACAGAAAATGATTTTTCACCTGATGATGGCCATGTTGGCCGAAACTAGTCGAGGAATCTAAATGAAATAATAATAAAAACGAAGGAATATTAATATACAACCCAATGTGTCTGAAGATTTTTATTTTTTTAATATTTTTATTGTTTATATATATATATATATATATATATATATATATATATATATATATACAAGTACAGGTTTGGTACAGATGGAATAAAATTCCAGTAACCAAAAATACTATTCTTAAAAGAGTGCTCAATACCTAGCAGAGCAAATAATATTTATTCTAAATTAAACCATATGCAAAATTTGCAATTTTGTTTCAACCCAACTGGGTTTTATGAATTCAAAAACAAGCCAAAGCTGCTCACTAGTCGTAACATTGTTACGTAACCTATGTTGACTAATCAGACTACAAGTACATGGTAATTCAAAATAACCTGACAGTATATATTAAGTAAAATCTATTAGTGTATCAAAGTTAAGATTAGATTAAATTAAAAAACAATATAACAAATGAAGATTTAATTTCACATTTAAATTAAAAATTAAAAATTGTAAATGCCAAATTCTAAATTTAACCGAGAATCGAGATTGATATTATTACGAAATTATTCACAAATGAAACTAGGAAAAAAATAATTTTATATTTCTTAGCGAAGTGCCAATTTATCAGTTAAATCCGACGCTGATGTAAGAAGTATCTGCGATCGCAACATATATTTGATACATGGAAATTTTGAATTCAAATAAGGAGGTAGAAGGGGGGAGGGCAGGAAATTTTCAAATGACAAGACAAACACATTCACATTCTAATATACAAACACGTATGTATAATCAAATATATGAGTACGCAAATATAAGGACTGAAAAATTTTATATATATATATATATATATATATATATATATATATATATATATATATATATATATATATTCAAAATTATAACATATGCATGTTATAAAAACACTACAAAAACTGCAATTTATATATATATATATATATATATATATATATATATATATAGAATGGAAATAAAGTCACTATACATTCCAGTTCGAACAGTACCGGTAGTTAATTTACTATTGTTTACCATAGCATGTCATTGTTATTAAACAGAATTAACCAGAACCATTTTAATAATCAATTTCTGGACTGTTTATAAATTGTTTTGCCTTAATTGTTATTTTTAAGTCCTGGATAGTGACTTTAGTGCCACCCTTGATAATATATATATATAATATATATATATATATATATATATATATATATATATATATATATATGTATGTATGTATGTATATATATATATATATATATATATATATATATATATGTGTGTGTGTGTGTGTGTGTGTGTGTGTGTGTGTGTGTGTGTGTGTGTGTGTGTGTCATGACAGTAAAAACAATTGTCGAAAAAATATGGTTCAGCATTGGCTGATATACGAGAACCAAGAATTTGCAATAAGACCGCCTCTGTTAAAGAGAACTCAATTACGAAAGGAATATTTCTTTCAAAGGATTAATATCATGGCACTGTCCAAAAACTCTTTCTCTGAAGTACTGATTCAAGTTTGAACAGGAATATTTGTAATACATTTCGATTAAGAAATTTCGGGTCGAGGGTTTCAGTATCAGACACATTAATATTTTACCGCCCCCACCCATTTCATCTTTTCACTGTTACACAAGAATGACCACGTGAGCCTGAAGTAAAGGTTCGCAAGAGAGACTTGCAGTCTATTATTAGTACAAAACCTTCAATGTCATCTCTGTGCTCAGGAAATGAAACATTTTGTTAGGCTAAAATAAACTGAACATTTTTGGAGGTGTGGTCGTGTGGCAAAATTTCGCAATCTAATCTAGCAGAGAATTACATTGTTTTGCAAGCAAACCAAGTTTCTCTGAAAAGTGTCCAGACGAATTTCTTTCCTGAGTTCCGCCAATTCTAACCTCCCTTACTAAGACCCTCAAAGACACGCACATTGTAGCGAATCACCATTCTCTTCGTATTCATGAGTGAGAGGTAAGGTCTAATCGATCAAATTCTTCCCACTAAACCGAAACCGAATCCCAAGAGTATGTTATCCCGATAAATTAAATGTAATCGTCTCTTTTACTCCATCAGCTTCATATCTCGCACCACTCGCCTGTGAAACTCCCTCCCTATTCCTGTTTCCCTGAGAGCTATAATCGCCAACTATTCAAATGTAATGTCAATCGATATCTCCAGTTGCCTTGATCTATCCATTATCCTTCTCCTCATCCTTTCCTCTATCACTCCTATCTGATCAAATCTTCTGTAACCCCTTGCGTCCTAGTGGCTTCACGCCTTGCTTGGGGTGAAATGCTTAAAAAAAAAAGGAAAAAAAATAAAGTTTTAACCTGTTCAAGTTTAACCATTATTTTCCCCACATATACACAAGAATTTTGTCTCTTTCTCTGAAACACTCTACCTCGAGTGGCTCTTGGGTCTTGTACAGCGTGATAATTATTGTAAAAAATTAAATTACTTTGAATATTTTTCACAAGTTCGAACATAATTTTACATGAGCACAATATTTTTCTAAATATTTGTTTTTTTTTTTACTTTCAACTCCTCCTCGAATTAAAGAAACAACCATGTCGAGAAAGCTGCCGCTTCTGAAGCAAGTCCAGGAAAGTATTTCACATATTTTCCTTATAATGGCAGAAATATTCTCATTAGGAGACATTAATCAAATCCATATTTTCTTGACACTTATCAAATTCATATTTTCAGAAAAATATACAACTCTGAACGTGACACATCCGGACCAATTTTACACTAATTAGTTCATTAACAGCCTCTGTATAATAAACAAATGTATATGTTTCTACTCAACCCGTACTGTGAGCACCATTTACACTGTAAATGTTAATAAACATACGAAAATAGTTTTTATTGGCATTGGCAAGATTATCGATACTGACTGATTCCATTAGAAGCAATAAGCACGTTTCTTTTAGCGTGCAAACCCTGCGGTTGCAAATGCAGTTACTTTTAATATAAGACAACCTATACGTGCATAAGAATTAGATCAATAAACTTATGCGTCTATGTATTGAGTTACATTTGCATCATTTGATAATTGTCAATTAGTTCGTTCCATAATCGAGTGAAAGAATTATCTTGCCGTAGCGCAATGTTTGTCACCATAGTCTCGCCAGCCATTATTACTGTTTTGAGTGATATCTCCATTGACCAGCGTGTACAGCATTATATATGATTGTGCTAAGTTTAGTTTTTGACGCCTTACCGGTTAATAGGGATCAGGATGTTAGTCTTACAGTTCATTGACTACTGTGTCGGTAATTATTGGGTACACCACGTTTCTGTTATTAGGTCTGTCTAAGCCACATTGTTTGAATGGGTAAAAGAGTCCACGAGGGGTCTGTATAGTTTCGGTATAAAGATTGGACCGGAGCTGACGGCCATTTTCGGAAACGAGCAGCTATGCTGAAGATAATAATTTATTTACATTGTGACTCAAATTGATGCAGCTTTAATGAAAACTTATTTTAGATAAAGATTCAAAATTGAAAAAAAATTATCTGTCAGCATTTAAAGAGATTATATTTCGTGTAATTTCACCATGGTTACAGATCATCAGGTGTATTGTTCAGTTGCTTTTGCAGGTAATCAGATATACATTAATTAATTTATTCAAATCGAGTTTGGATGCAACAACTAATCAGCCAATATTCGAAAGAGCAATTTGGACAATTTTCATAGATGCGTTAAGTCATCTCATTCAACGATAGTTAGTCATTTTTTAAACAACATTCACTTTTCTTCGTCCATCTACCAAGATATGTTCTCGGTATTATTGAATGTTCATTTTTACTTTCGTCCTAAGTATTAAAATCAATTTATATTAAGTCCTATCAGCCATCCTTTATAAACAGAAGGAGTTGTTGCTAGTTCTAAATATAATTAGTCTTTGATGCTTTTATATATATATATATATATATATATATATATATATATATATATATATATATATATATATATATATATATATTATATTTTTTTTATAAAACCAGACTTTTGGTGTTGATTTTAGACGCTGTGCACATTTCTCGATAAACCAGTTTAGTCGTTCTTTGTTAATTGTTTTATTGCATTTCGATATTACCTCTTTGCGGTGTTGTAAACCTTATCTGTTACTTACTTTCTGTTATTTTCCCGCTTCTTATATAGAAGAAAAATATTAAGTAATTAATAGAATATTAGCCTAAATGAAATAAAATAGCTAATGAACTGGTTATGCCACTCATCAACCAGATTTTACTATTTTACACTTAAATACCTCGAATTCATCATAAAACATCCGAATGTGCAATTAGGAAATACAAAACACCTCAGATACCTCTGCGTGTAGAGATTTAATATAAGGATAAGTATATATGAGATAAGGTTATTCAATACAGAATTGTCTGAACTAGGGATAACTTTGCCCAGCACAAGTTACTATAAAAACCAAACATTTCAGCTAAAACTCGAGTCAGCTTCTTAAATATAAACAACAGATTGAGACTTTGTTATTGGCACCAAACTCATTCAGAAATGTCTAAATTGACAACTGTATACAAGAGATTTCTCAGGCCAATGGCAAAAGGTAGATTTCAGCAAATGAAGCCTGGGAGAATTAGCGAGGAACATTTGTCTTTAGACTTTATGGATTGGCGCTTTAGAATCAAAAAGAAAGAACTGAACCAAATAATAGAATCCCCATCGTTTAAAGACTTTTAAAAGCAGCGACAAAGAAAATGGATACCATATGTAAATCTAAGAAAAAAATAATGACATAATCAAGATGATGACGTTCTACATTACTTAAAACAAAAGTTTTGACCCCCCACCCACCCACATCAAATGCAAACAGAACGATAACGCCAATGACGTGCGGAGGTTTGGTGATGCTTTGTGATGCCCGGGACCAACTCCTTGATTTTAAGCTCCTAAAACTCAAGTAGAAGGGGTCTATAGGCCCTCGTACTGAGAAATGTGAGAATGGAGGACATTTTAAATATGTAAGAAAGAAATGATATATGAAATAAACAATTTGTCCAAATTAAATATAAAATAACTTCTTATTTCACTCTTTGATCGGATTCCCGCCCGATATGGATGCCCAGGACCGTTTGTAACCTCTGCACCTCCTTCTATACGCTACTGGATAGCAAGGTATTGGACTAGAGAAACGTGTTAATTACGAACAATATTCCTGTTTTGAGAAAACCTGCTATTTTTCAAGATTATCCATAAACGTTGATATTTTTATTCAATCTGACATTTTAAATATTTTTTCTAATTCTAAGTAAACATGTTTCATTATTATTTGCTTGCATATTCTAAGATTTTACACTATATTCCAAAATTATATGCAAATAAATAAAATTAGGATAATTATGAAAATAATAGTTCTAAATTGATCAAATATCTCCCAAATATTGATCATACGTTTACTGCGAATATTACAAAGTGTACTAAAGTATGAAAATATAGAATTTCATTTACTCTGCAATATTCAAAATATTATTATTTAAACTGTTCCATTTTATACGTCGATGTGTCAAACGTGACAATTTGAAGCGTTCGGGAGATAATAAAAGACTGACAATGACCAAACACAATCAATCAATGACATACATAGCAAAATAACATACATAGCAAAATAATACAATCTGTTGTGGCGAACGATTTTTTTTCTCTTCCACTGTATGAATCCGAATACCTCGTCGCCAAGTGTGTTATGGAGTGGTTTCACAGTGGAGGCTTGTATTTGTACTAAGTCGGTCCTAAAATAGGTTCGACGTACAAAACGTTAGGAACTTGATATAATAGGTAATGACGCAGAGAAATCTAGTGGTGGTCGCTGATACTTTTAGTATCCGAATAACGGACGTCCGGCATCGACTGACTGGCCGACCCACTGAGCGACTCTTACTACTCTTACTTATTATAGGTGGGAGAGTCTATTAACTATACAATAGGTGTGTTCTACTATAACACAACCTCAAATAAAACAGTAGAAACTAAATATTATGTAATTGCTGGTGTAATTTCTATTTTTTGTGATGATTAATTAATTGAAAGAACCTCTTTAGCTTTCTTTCTTTTACCATACGCTCAAATTTAGACCCACTGTAGTGACAGGGTGTAATTGATTTCTAATTTTCCTCAGATTAGGTCGTTTGCAGTGGTGTACAGTAATAGGAATCTGTTTTTCGGGTGTATGATGAAGCATGTTTGGCGTTAAAAAATACTGCGCTATATGTGATTGCATAAAATTTTCATCACATCCTGACATTAGTGTTTCGACTGTCGATTAGTTGTCCTACAGCCATTGTCTGCGATGGATATTACTCCAAGGAAGGGTACTAAAATTGCACAAACCCGCTGGAAAGGCTTACCAGTGAGCAAATCAAAGTACTAACGGCTGGTTTGGAAACTCTTCTGATTTAAATCCAATCGAGAATCTGTGGTCAATCTGCAAGGGACGACTTCGTGGAATGAAAACACAAAGTAATAGCATATGCACTGGGCCATGTTTGATTGGAAAAATGTGAAAAAAAAGTAAATAATAACGGAATTATTTGTTTTGTTTCAATTAATTTGCACAAGGGTGTAATTGTTCACAGAAAACTTTACATTCGGAATATCTTCAGGGATGACAGCTTCAGTTGAGATTTTCTTCCCAAAGTTTAATATTGTTTACTGCTCGCATAGCAATTGGCTCAGCTGAGCTTAGATGCGGCACATAGGCATAAATATGGGGCACCCAGTGAGGAACGAAATCACTATACAATTGTAAGTGATCTAGGGAGACAGGTTTGCTAAGCATGACACCACGTGGAAGTGTCCTCATAAAGATGACTGTAAACGATGCCCAAAGATTAGCTTTAAAATCCGGTGAACACGCCGACCACTTCATGTCTCTTATTTTTAACATTAATTTAGCTATGCAATGGTTATGATAACAATATCAGCCATTATAGCAATATCAGCGTATATATATATATATATATATATATATATATATATATATATGCACATTTCATTGAAAACGACAGACAAAATGCTTTTATTTATTTTTATACAATTTCTCGTTTGGTCTAATAATTTATTTCTTTTTGGACGATAAGTTATATAAAAACTCTCCGAATGTTCTTTTTATCCGAGCGCTTTCGGCTATAAATTTAGCCATTTTCAAGGATTATATTTTAACTGTTAAAATAAGAAATAGATAAATTTATATATAATTTATAAAGAGGATGAATGCAGAATTAAGAAATGCATAATACCAGTTGACAATAGCAAAGAAATTAAATTAATTATTTATTACAAAAAAAATTAAAACCTCTAACCTTATAGTTAAAAAAAATAATTCACCTCCTAGAACAAAATTAAATAGAGCAAATATTATTTACGAATTCCTGATCAATCAAAATTCGTAAATAATTATATAGGCCACACAACATGTTTGACACGCAGACTCACTCTACAACTTTCTGACCACAGTTCAATTAGATTTCATTTAAATAGTCATGGAGACCTACCGGACACTTTTCGTAACATATTTGTGACAACAATAATATAATAGCATCATCTACATGCAAAAATGGCTAAAAATAATGGCAACCGTATTAATAAAAACAAATAAAACAACACTTAATAATATTCACTTTGAACATGGACATAATACTTGACCGTGTTTTGAAAAATGAAAACATTTTATATAACATACATACAACAAACTATTTCTTATTCTAACAGTTAAAATATAATGCTTGAAAATGGCTAAATGTATAGCCGAAAGCGCTCGGATAAAAAGAACATTCGAACAGTTTTTATATAATTTATCATCCGAAAAAAATTATTAGATCGCATGAGAAGTTGTATAAATTTCAATGAAATGTGCATGATTTCTGCCTAAATACACAAATATATATATATATATATATATATATATATATATATATATATATACCACTTCTGTTTTGAATATCAGTGCCCTCTTCTTGAGAGATGGCTGAACTTAAGACTTCAGCGTTAGTAAGGTAGTTTATTCTGATGTCATCATGAACACCCCAGGGTCAAAACAACCCATTGCCAATTATCCTATCCCAAAATATGACAAATTCTTCTACTTGCTGACACCTCATTCGAATAAGCTTAAGGTCGCCCTTCTGACAATATGCTGTTCGCCAGCCTTCAGAAATATCCGAATTCGCCCTGCAATCGATCTGTATAACACACAATGAAAATCAAACATTCAATACTTTCCGATTTTTTTCGGCATTTGGAGAGAGCGAACCATTTGTCTGGTGTATGTTCCTAACCTCCCCAGTGTAGGCCATCTTGAAGTTTTAGGTACATTTGGAACTC